CAATTTAATTAGCACTTTTTCAAAGAATCTACATATGCATAATATCTGCTTAAGATGCTCCGTTTTCCTGTCTTTCACTAAAATATTTCATGATGGGATGCACATTATCATAATTGTCATTCCCAATCTTCAAAAACAAATGTGTATTAAGACAGTAGCTAAAATAGTACTTCTGTTGAAAATCAGACAATCAAAAATATTTTGTAATTAAGCACTGCGATATTCTAATTACCGATAATTCAAGCTACTCCATGCTGCTTCCTGTCCCCTCTCTGCAACAATTAGACAAATATATGTCAGCTGTGATTTTTCTTTTATTTCACTTTAAAGTGGCGCTGTGGGGGATTTATTTAAAAACATTGACATTTATAACTCTTCCCTCAAGAACCGCATTCATTCTCTCCTCAGCAGGAAAAGCTACGTTTTAAGTGGCAGGAATAAAGGTCTGAAGTGATTTGCATATCTGAACAACAACGCAAAAACTTTCTTTTGACAATGTAGTATTCGCTGCACTTAAATTACAATTTTAACTGCATAAAAAGTTTAACTTATACCCAGGAAATAATGTATCTTACAATGACATTCATGACTTGATACACATAATTATGCATGATGAGCTACAGTAGGCTGAAAAATAGTGACCTTGTGACAGGATTGTCTGACATTCATCATCTCATCGACACGTATGTGAATGCCTGCCTCACAGGCATTTTCTTATAGCGTTGATTGCATTCCTCAAGTCTTCCACAATGGTGTTAGCTCAGAAAGCAGCAGAAAAATACTTGTTTCAATGTCATTAATCCTAACTTGTTTGGACTCCTCACGTTGACTCTCCCACACATCTCCTTTTCTCCCTTTTTTCTCTCTCAGGCACATACTTCTGCTCTCACTCTCTCTGCCGCGCTAACATGTTGACAGCAGTTTGTTAGTAGGTATCAGTTTTCAGAGAGCAGGCTGAGAGGGATGTGGTAATCATCTCTATCTCCGGCTGCTTGGCAGCGTTCCCCTCGGCATGCTGGCAGACACTTGCCATTGAGCAGCTGTCAGGCAGAAAGGGTGTGGGATGTGGGCTCAAGCTACACAGGTCACGGTCATTTCTTTCCAAAAGCCACTGAAGCTAAAACCTTAAGTGGCATTTGAGCTACCTGCACTGTCAGTTCTGACACTCACAACACTAACAAGGAGACCACCGGTAGAGAGTCAAACTCGATTATGCCTCCCTGGTGGATTTACTTAATATAGCTAAGCTACGGTCTGACTTTTTTCTATTAGAGGAAGAGAACACATGCTTTAATCATTATGAGAGCTATTCTGCAGGTACGTGAAGTAGAATGTACAGCTATATCTGAAGAGTGTGAAAATAAAAATGTCCCAGTAATTAATATAAAAGATACAAGTAAAAACATGTAACTCTAAACCACAATGAGAAAGTAATTTAATCAGTTCTAATATATTTAAAAAAATATCAGTATCATTTAGATGGTTAGTTTATATGGTGAAAGGGGATATAATAGCACTGACATTTTTGAACTGTTTACCAGTCCTTCTAAAAACAAAAAAAACAGGATATATACAGAAAAGTTATTTAACTAAGAAATACATAGGGGTTTAGTTTTAGTCAGAATAAGTAAGATTAGAGTTGTTAAGCAGTGAGTGCATTTTTCTTACATTTATAACTGCTATTTTTCTGTAGTAGTAATTCTGGTTGAAATGTGGTTATTGCTATCTCTTAATAAATGGCTGTACATAACGTGTATTTATGGTAAATGTAGTAAACTGATTAACTGCCAGTTGAAAGACAATAGTAAAATAAAAAAGGAATTCAATTACATTTCAAAAATCATTGTTATTCCTCAAAGATGGACTTTATGCTACTTTGTTACATGCCAGGGTAACAGTCACGCGCTTCATCATAACAATTATTCTGCAGTCATTCAAGGCTGTCTTTATTTCACGAACCAGAGCCCCTTAGTTTATGCTGAATTATTTAGAAACAAAACTAATCAGCAAAAAAAACCATCAAGTTCTACAAAAAGGTTAGAACTTTAAACAAAAATGCTTTGAAAAGTAGTGTGAATTCCACGGCTGCTGCAAACTGAATTGTGCTTTACAAGTTGCAGGCTCTCACAACCTGGACCTGTGATCTTTAGAGTGATACCCTCAAGTTCATAGCAACAAATACACTCAATCACTCAGGGAGATCCTTAGTCTCTCTGTTGGCCAATTACTGCTTTTAAAAAGCCTAGGGCTTCCAGGAAACTTTGACTCCTGGAAATAAAGACCAATCTGAGAGAGAAACAATGCAGCTATTAAAATCTTTATAATTCTGTAAATCACAAGTGATTTGTTTTGCCCCATGGCTTGTTCCGATACATCCTTGCTGCTATTGCAAAGGGCACGAGGTGACGGCAATTGAGGAGAGCAAGCTTATTTTTACAACTAAGCTTGGAAAAAAGGGAAGCCTTTTTTCTTCTTCTTTTTGAGTGCAGAAGGCAAAGATCTCCTCTGTGTCATAATTGCCTGAAGTTAGAGAGTAAAGGCTCTGGACTCCTGATGTTACTGTGGGCCTTTCATCAGGGGGGTTGGAGTCAGAGCTGCTTTAAAAGATCAGGCTCTCTGGAGGATCACACTCTGTTTTTATTTATGTAATAAAATATTTTTAAAAGAGAGAAAATGATCATCACTTATCTACCGCTGCATTACATGTTTCCCTGACTGGTGCCGTCATAGTTGGCGTTTGCTGTTTTTGTTGATGATTAAGGCTCCCATTATTCAAAGCAGATTTACATTTTCTCAATTATTTCATTGTTGAACTTCCATATAAAGTATGCTATGCAGATTAATTTTGAGGATGGATTCTGAAATTAGCCCGCTTATTCAAATAAAGTGGAAGCTAAAAGTGGTAGAGAGGATCATGCAATTATGAGTAAAATCACTCCAATTAAACACTGCCATGTTAACTTTTAGAGAGCACACACTCCACATAATATAATTACAAATTGGGAGGAAAAAATTGAAAAGAAAACACCAACATTATAGAATGAGGCATTTACAGTTGATGGATTCTCAAAAAGCTCTTCTATCCTCTGGTGCTCAGGGTTAAGAACGGCTCTCCTCTGCTGCTGCAACGCTCTCCTTTCCCAACGGCATCCCTCCCCTTTCAGGAGAGCGAGGCCCTCTGGTACTACACAAGGGCCCTGACTGAGGACGCTTTGATACTTCAGCCTCTGATCACAAGAGTATCCTTATAGCGCCCAGTTGATGGACGAATGGGTCATAGGAAGGATGTCCAAACCATAAATCAGACAACAGGGGTGACAGCACACCAAATAGGTGAATTGTCCTTGGGTTCGCGGTGCTGGCGGCATCCCTTGTGTCCCAGAGTCACACCACCCTTTTTATTATTTGGGAGCAAGTCAAACGGATGCCCCACCAGCCATTCTGCCCTCCCCCTCGTGTGTTTCCCTTAGTCTTGGAGCCTGGACCCTGCTATGAACTGTTTCCAGAGTCAGTTACTGGTGTAATTGAAAGTGCTTTGTCATCGCTTTCAGCCAAACACTGATGGATGTGAAGTTGAATGAGGTTTGGGTTTTAGTTATACGAGTGAGCCTGTGTGAGATTTATCACCAGAGGCTTAAGAGGCTACAAGGGACCATTAAAGCACCACCGCCGTCTACATCACAGTGAACTGTTCATTATTATTCATTAAAAATAAAAGGCCTTTAATATGTCTACTTTCCCCCATGTGAAAGAATAACATTGTACATACATGTTTTTGATGACTGTTGGAAAAACGGTTAAGTTGCCCAGTTTTTTTTTTGTCTGGCTCAATTAAATTTTGGATTTTAAAAATTGTAGCAGCACATACAAAAGTAAGCTGGCCTATGAATTCATAAGAAAGGAATATATAGTTCAGCACTTTTTCAAAGTTTAAGCAATATCAAAGCTCAAGAATGTCTCTTTCTTTGATGTGAATTGTATTAATCTTTGTCCTTTATAGCTTTGCACTTTCAAAACCCACTATAGTGATTTGAATAATACATATTCTCTTAATTTGAGGTCTGTTATGTTAAACATATATCCTTAATGTAAATATCTGCTAAACCCACCAGCGGTTATAATATATTTTCATAATTAGTGTAGTCTAGTGAAACCTATGAAACAATTTAATTTCAATTCTATATCGACATCCACACGCAAAGCGTGGGAGGTGTGCTAGTTCTCATTGTCTCCCACTTATTATAGGCTGCCCCCAGCTGCCTGGGCTGTGAGGGCCTGGATCCTGGCTCACGTCCAGCTCGGCTCTGATCTGGGCCTCTTTGTGATTTGAGGAGTATAGAGCTTTGCTGGGCTGCTGTCCTAGAGCCATGTTGGAATGCAAGAGCAGTGGTTGAGGTGCAGAGGGAAGTGACCTCACTGTGTGATGCGAGCAAGAGTACGGGGCAAGAGTTACACACTGAGGTTGGTTGGATTATAAATAAAGTAGCGTGCGGTTTGTGTGCTGCAGCCGGGAAATAGGGGAAGGTGAATACCAGTGCTCACAGCTCAGTTGTAAATGGTGCCCTTATCCTAACACTGGTTCAAGGCTGCCAAGATAGCATAGCCAAAAAAATAGGAACATTTAATAGAAAAATATTTTCCAATTTCTGCATGTTCTCAAAGACGTTGCTGTTCCATTGTGTATTTATGAGTTTTCTCAACATTTTATTGTCAGATTAAGGTTTGTTAATATCAATTTCTGCCATCTTAATAAATAGCGTTACATATTTCTTGGGGAAGGTAAGTCACAAGCAAATGGAAGGAGATGCTTGTGTTTTTTTTATTGTTTATGTTTCCTGTGTTCAGTCTCCTTTCTTGTTAGCATTACACATGTTAAGAATAAATAACAGATGCATCTAATGCTCAAACTAGTTTTTAATGATGAATACAGTAAATGTGGTGACATTTTACTAGAGCCCATGGTGTAGACTGCTGTGTGTTGAGGGATACTTTTGACTGACCTGTCTGGGGCTGGTGTTCATGCCGGTCGTCTTGTGGTGGACACGAGGGAACGGGAGGGAACAAAAGACCAAGACCTTGCCACAGGCACAAACACCTGGGAGGAGAGACAAAGGCAACTTCACTTTAACAGGAAACACAGTGTCCAGGGTAAACAGTGCTTAACTAGGCGCATCAACATTGTGTGAAACTTAATATGACTTCCAGGACATCCTGGAGACGCATGAGACCCCAGTGGTACTGCTCTTATAGTTTTCTGCTTGTTTTGGCACACATTTGTTAGCACCAGATGAATTCATTGTTCAGTTGGCTTAACTTTTTATTCCTCACAGGCTAAATTGAACACTCTCACATCTTTAATGTAGGTGCTATTTTTAAGATAAAGGCTAATGTTTAGTGTGGATAAATCTCTCTAGAAGAAATCAATAGATACGCTGTTGCGGATAGTCAAATTAGCATGGTAAATGAACATTAACTTGCAGATGGTTTGGTATGGGGCATCGCTGTGGCTCCTAACAAACAATTGATTAACTTGTAAATTCTCATTGCCCAGCTGTTATTCAGGCTGTTTACCATACATAAAAGAGGGGGAGTAGAGAAAGGATCCAGATGCTTTGAGTGCTGCAGAAAGGCAATCTGTCATTGTTCTCAACTAACACTGATGGATGCTGCTTTGAATGGGGATTGGTTTTAGTTAAACATGACAAAGTGAGGGATGACACGCCATTGGTCACAAAGGTCTGGAGGTCCAGAAACGCCTCAGCAGTTGCTTTTTTCAGCCAAGACAACCTCTTGTTCATGTATCAGCTGCCAATAAAAGGAAGAAGTTGTCGGGGCAGGCTTTCAGGTTTGTTTGTTTTGCGGAGTGTTCACGTTGAAGTTGAGAAATGGGAAAATGAACAAAACTTTCACGCAGAGTTTCACAAGATGGCCAGCCAGTATGATTCAAGCATGATTTACTTTCTTTCCATCTCCAACATGACTCATTTATTACTATTTATATGACCTGGAAAGCAGTATGATTCCACAGGGTCACAAAGTCTCACATTTGGAATATAAGAAATCTACTTTGTATTGAGCTTCAGTCAAAGTTGATGAGTGCAGTTCACGACACAGAAACAAAGCTGGTGTCTATATCTAGTAGTATCTGTAAACAGCCCAAAATATTCTAACCTTTTCGAGAACAAATCAACTGTTAAAATCAACAGTGTGTGAATAAACTAGAACACATTTTTTTTTGTAAAAAATGGAAATGTGTCAAACTACTTAGCTCTAAAAAGTAGACTCCAACACATTCATGGAATTGAACCATGTACATTGGCAGCAAACCAAACCAAAAGTTTTGACATCAGGTTTAAACATTAAATGCAGACATCTAAGTGTAGTTATACAGCAGGATATAACATTTTTTAAAGGCTTGATGTGTTTAGGGGATATTGCTGTCAGCGGACAGGAGCATGGGATGAGAAACTCGGAGTTAACCAGACTTCAGTGTCAGATTGTGAATGGTCCAGTAAACCCTGCTTCTCCCTGACCCAAAAATAACTAAGGGTGATGTAAAATGCATATGGGCTGCTCTTCCAGCTGCAGAAGATCACATGCATGTTCTCAGTAAAAGATGACATCAGAGATCTGGCAAGAACAAAACACGTCTTTCTTTACACAAAATGGTGTGTGTGGGGGAGGGGGGTCTACATGAGGACCACTGAGGGACAGTTTAAGTAAAGACTTCTGCAAAACTCATCAGTCGTTTTCAAATATGGTTGAGGTAAAAATCCACTCTAAAACATTGACTCCTTTCATCTTCTATCATTGAACTTTCACTTTTCCCCACGCAAGACAGCTATCCCATAAGCTAGCAAAGAGGGGCAAGACTTCATGGTTCTCATTAAAACTAGTCAGCAAAAGTCCTCTCTGCCACACACAACCACACACAACGGCATACAGTTATACTGTATACATACAGATGGTCTTCTGAAGATGGTCTCAAACCAAATAACGTCAACAACTTCCAAAGTAGTTCCTCAAAGAATAAGCCTTTCACACAGCATGCAATGGTTTATGGCTTATTAATATAAAGAAATTATAAAGTTGCTGCCCTTTAAAACTAACCCAATGGAATATCTGAAAATGCTTTAAAAAAAGGTTTTAATAAGGACATACAAATCCCTACTCTTGTGGTGTTTAGAACATTCTATACATTTAACTAATACTGAAAATGTAGTTTAAGTTATGATGATGAACAATTCTCAACCAAATATAGACAGATTTTAACAAGAAAATCACCTTTTTCATTAAAATAAAAGACAACCTTTTTTTGGTCAGTTGCCTAGCAATCGTACTCAATCTCCCACATCGAAAATAACTGAAAAATGTCATAATGCAATCAGATGTAATCATTATAAAACATAGCTCCCAAACCTAACAACAAGCCTAGGTTGATGTTTAAACCCTCAATTAGTAACTACATCGATCAAAATGAAATTTGTCACATGACAGCAACTGAGTGATCAGATTTACACTTGTTTGCTTCCTGTAAACCTCAAAACAGCATTACGAAATGTCAAGAAAAAAATAGAAGTATTTTAGACAAAATGCTCAATGAGTCACAATTAGCAAGCGATGCATTAGGAATAATTTGCTGTAATAGCACAAGCAATTATGCCTATGGCCTACGGCTGAATACACATTTTAAGTGCAATATAGACATAACAAACAACAAACTTCCTAAAGGAACATGATAATGGTTCCAATTCAGGACCTAGATGAGATTGTATTTATGTTATATCGCCATCTGATATTCTCAGAAACGTTTATTTTATATACAAATGATATACAGTAAATAATATGTTTTATTTTCAATGAACACAGGACAATTCAAACATTACAAAATAATATATCCCTGTAAACCACAGACATGCATTTTACAGGGATCATAGCACAAGGTCAGCCATCATACATCACATACATCACCTTGCTCAAGGGCACCCTGTTCATGCCCAGTAGGTGAACTGGCACCTCTACAGCTAGTAGTCCATACTCCATACTCCATACGGGGACTTAAACAGCCAACCTCTAATTCTGAATAATGGTGAAAACTGGATCTTCATTGCAACAGAGGCCAAATGCAAAGACAGCGTCAAGTCAAGACCATTTAATGTATATAGCCATGTATGACACATTTTTATACTTAGACCCTTATAGGTACACAACAACACAATTCCCTATTGTGGGAGCCTTCCCTGTCACACATGGGGTGTTTGATTTGAGGAGAACCAGTATGATTCCAGTCACTATATGAGGCAGAATGTCAGATCAGCATGTTTTTGTGATGTTGCTTTTAGTTCTCTAATGTGAGTCCATGCGGCCAGACTGCTCACAGACTTGGCCGCTGGCTGAAGCCAATTGTCGGAGTTAGGCAGCAGAACACAAGACTCCCCACTTGGAAAAAGGAGGAGAAAACAGTGGAGGAGTTTTAGCAGTCAGCCCTCAGACAGGAAGACTCTAGAGAAAACACCAGAAAGCCATTAACTAACCACAGTATTATGGTGATCTATTTGCTGGAATGGGCTACAGACAGCTAATGAACAAGCCTCCGTTACCCACCCACCCACCCACCCACCCCCCCCCTCTCTCAGACCTCCACACACGTATCGCACATACACACACAGAGAAGCAATGCTGAAAGAGCTCTTGCTTGTACAAAACAGCGTGACAGATCAATGCCTGATTCCTAAATCAAGGGAAAAGGTTATTCTCTGTCTCACTGGGATTCCACTTACTATCCCCCTATATCTAAGACACTCCCATACCCATTTAAACCAAACAAGTCCAGAACCCCCCAAACAATGCACCCACATCTCCTAATTAAGAGCGAGGCGGTGGGGCTTTTTGTGTCTGTGGTTATGCTTGCAATGTTAGTGTCTGGAGTGTGAAAACAGATCTGATGGACTGGTGCCCTCAGCTCTCCCTGATCAGGCTCCAGCAGGTATCCCCCATGATTGACAGCCCACAGGTCAGCAGCCCATCTCTCAGTCTGTTAGAGGGTGGGCGGTAAAGAGATTTGGAATGCCTGGGACCCTGATTGCTTTATTGCTCGCCTGTCAGAACCATTGTACAGCTCTGTATTATTAGGGCTCGCCATCTCTCACCGAAGGTGTCGCGTCTCAGCTCTGCATAAAGAATCACCACTCCATTCAAAATCCTCTTTCTTTTTGGCTGAAAGGAAGAAAGCACAGATTTTTCCACAGAGTCCCATGTATTGGTTTGTCAGATAATGCAACACAAGTGTCTCCAGGGAATGGTTGGGATAGCACAGCTTTACACTCGAATGAAGATTTTAGATCCGATTTGGCAAAAATGTATCACACCGATACCAACAATAGCAATTATACAGGAATTTATCTGATGTTTCTGATTATGCAAATATTTGTTTTAGGTTTGTTGCTACTGCAGTGTCCACACCCCTAAAAGAAAGAAAGAAGAATAAAGAAAAAAGTAAGCTTCTTTATTTTTCATTTTTCTTTACTGATGTTTGTGTTGGTGAGACCTAAAAAGGTATTGCCTAAGTAGAAACAGACAAACAACGCATATCAATGCACATATCAAAAATAATGGGGAATTTAACATAACACTTTTTTGTACACTATAAAGCAACTTGTGCTTGACGTAGTTAGACTTTTGAACTGATGGCGACCACAAGAGCTAAAACAAATGAACCTGTGCTTTAGGAAATTGTGATTGGAAAGTATTTTCTACTATATTATCTACAAATCCAGAAAAATATACAACAGATTAATTTATAATTAAATAATAAGCTGAAGCCCCAACACAATTGATTATGCACATTTGAAATGTATTGACTGTCATCACAACCAAAGCAACAGCTTTGACTCAACACATTTCTTTACCAAAATGTTGCAGACTCAAGTGGTGATTTCAGTCCAGTAGTGATTTTATTGTGTTGTTACTTGCTGAAGGAAAGACTGAGTTTGACAAATCGATATGATAATATTCTAATCCAATTAACATGTAACCTTTTCCTGTTTGGTCATATATATATTTATAGAATTACTAGCAGGAGAATAACCAAATACC